GGTGAATATCACAAATTTTTGACTGACTTAACAAACAGATTCAATGGGTCCACATCCTACTGTGCTACAGAGAATGTAGTTTGACCAGTTCTACTGAAGCATAGCTGTCTAACTATGAGGTGCATGTGCACATACTGAGGGTGGTTATAGAGTTTATTATCAACTTCTCCAACACCATTGCACAACGTATCTTCCTGTGAGCCCCCCCCCCCCCCCCCCACCCCCTTCCCCCGTGTTTTTTCAAACAGCCTGTGAAGAACTTCCCTTGAGACACGTCTGTCGCAGTGATCCAAGTAAATTCCTGTAAACAGGAGACTTCAAACAGAAAAAAACAAACAGAATTGGAAAAAAAAGGCTAAATTACCTGAGGGTGCAGCTGGAAAAAACAGAGCAGGGAAAAAAAAGAAAGACAGTGGGAAAAATAGTCTTTTAAAGAAGAGAAGAAAGACAGCTTCAACTCACTTAGAACATGTAATTGTAAAAACAAAGGTTAAAGCATCCCACAGCGCCCCCCCAGGGAGGGATCTGGCTCAGGCTCTGTCAATTCAATATGACTAGACAGCACCCAGAGAAGGGGGCGGGGCACGGGTGGGTGACTTGCCACACTGGATGCCACCTCCCCTCCAGTGGGTGTAGGATGAAGGGACGTCAGAGTCACCCTGATAAGTCGAGCTGGCTTGATGTGACCGCCGGTGACGCGGGCGCTCAGCGGGCAGCCGTCACATGTACAGTACATACAGTACAGCTCTATAATGTGCTGTGGATGTGTGTGTCTGTTTACACAAGGTGGAGACAGCATGGAACTTGTAGAGGAAGAGACATAACAGCGTAGGCGTAAGACACAGGAGGAAAAAAGAAAATAGAGTGAGAAGGTGGGGGAAGGGCGACGGGAGTAGAAGAAGAAGAAGAAGTGGGACATGATGGGCTGGCTGCCTCCGTCCTCTTTCTACTCCGTCTGTCTTAGAGAACCCGAAGGGATAGGAGCGCGGGCCGGCGCCTTTGTCTTGCCCACGAAAGAAGCCTTTGTGGCATAGCGGCGTCAGCTGCCAATACGTTCCTAAGCTCTTGTCATTTACATACCGCCGTCTCCTGTGGGACTCATAAGCACCAACGCTGAGGAGCTAGACTTGGCAGCTCTCACCAGTGAGTTTGAAATGAACACATCACACACAGGGGCAAAAGTGCCACTGAAGTCACCACAGAATACGGCGTTGGGTTTAAATGTAGTAATGAGAAAGAGGAGGAGGAAGTCGTAGGTTTATTGACTATTTATTGAAAAAATAATCAAGATAAGAAGATGAAAAGTGAGGGAAAAAAACAGGCAGAGAAAAAGGCAGTGGAGCACAAGCTGCAGGGGACTATTAAAAAATGAATCAAAGGAAGGCAGGCTTTTCTATTGAAAGACACAGAAGCACTCACACCTCCCCTACTGAGGCAGAGAAACATTTCTATAATGCAGCAGGAGCATGTCAGTCACAGTCCCTGCCTCCTACATATACATAGGCTCACATATGTGTGATATAGCTTCACATTGACATTTTATTTCACTCAAGGTCCCTCAACTTGCATAGGGTTTTGCCGAAGAACTAGACGACACGTGCGAAGACACTGCGTCTAATTAACCTCCCATTCAGTGTAGCATCTAACAAGCACCGCTGCCTTTCATCTGAATCACTCCAAAGTATTCCGTCAGCATCATCTGCAGATTTGGTGCAACAGAGTTGGAGAGGTTTAGCTACAGACAGAAGAAGTTTTTTGGACGCCATTTCCTGCTCCTTAAAGTCTCGCCTGCACCTGCTTCACATCACCTGACCAGTCCCATGTGAGCTGCTGCAGGTGTACTTTATAAGAGGCTATAATGTATAACAATGATCTCCAGCTGTTCACTCAGTAGTCACCTGGTTAGTGACATCTTTCACTGGACGATGTCTCCGACACCTCAGACCACGATGTACACTCATTTATTCTACACTCCTAAGCTGCTGGGACGGGTAAGAACTGGGGTGCATTCCAACACGTCTTCTCATGGTGAGCCCCGTGTCCACTGACTACACAAACTATTTAAAGTAAAATATGAAAATCACATCACTACACACAAAAGAAACCAACATTTTTGGATGTTTTGCTTTTTTTTTATAGCCACTATAATGATCCCAAAATAAAATACAAATGCAGTAATGCAGGAGAATTATGCATTATGGTGCAGCATAAGTACAGTAGCTACAAATACTGATAAGAAAGACACTGTCTTTCATCAGTCCACAATAGTATTCAGTCTGTTTGGATATTGTTCATAACCAATCACAATACACACTCCTGCCAGACACTGTTCCCATGGAGAACTCATTTTTGTCAATCCTTTTCTCATAGCTTGTATTCTGAACTACTGAGTTTTTGATTGGTGAATTCTCCTGGAATGTTTTAATTCACAGCTCAGTTGAGGAGAAATTTCCCATGAACTTTTGTCTGCTGAGGCTTACCAGTTCATATAATAATCTCAGACTTAGGTTAGCTGATTTGGGCATCTGTTTGTCATGGTTGGTCTTAGCAGTAGCTACCGTTAGCTGCAATGCTAATGCAAACACTATAATAATTGTTGTTTGTTGCTGTGACTGTAAACTGAAACATGTCTTAAAGGATCAGACCGACTCTGGAACAGATGAAGTTGTTGACACTGACGACACAGGACGATAATCCTGATGGAAAAAAAAACCCCATCTGAATAGGATGTGAATCTGAATGGTGTAAATGGAGTCCACACTGTAAAGTATAAAGAGCCCCCCCCGCCTATCCTTCGACACCTCCCCTCCCCCGACTCAGCTCCTATTCAGTCAGATGTCGTGTAACTCTATGCACAGATGCAGGGATTAACTTTTACACTCTTCTACATGCATTGTCCAAATGCAGTGCCATCGCCTGCGGGTGCTTCAGCTTTCTGAATCAATATTTCAGCGCAGAGGCGTCGCTCAGCCTTCATCCACCTGGAGTGCTGCCAACATTCACTTTCAGTACTACTATAGCCCGCAGTGCATGGCTGCTGCCCACACACATACACAGTAGCATCAACAGAAGTCAGGAACATCAATTTTGTTTTTTTGTTTTACCTGGTGAGATTTCACACATATTTCTGCGAAACCAATTCCAAAAAACAAAACAAAAACAAAAACAAAAACAAAAACAAAAACAAAAACAAAAACAAAAACAAAAACAAAAACAAAAACAAAAACAAAAACAAAAACAAAAACAAAAACAAAACACATCTGACCTTTTACTCAACAGGGCAGCTGTTGTCAGCGTATGTGTTAAAGGGGGCAGCAGACAGTAGGGTAATTATCTCCTAACGTTGGATTTGCTCACATAATTATGATGCTCTTTTCACCTTTAGCCCTGAAATTCATAATGAACCACGCATTCTCCACGCACAACTCTCCAAATCAAACATCTCTCGGCAGAAGCATGTGAGTCAGATCCTGTCAGCGTCAGTGTCGGAGCAGAGGCTGGAGGAGAGAATGCAGTCGGTCCATCGACAGGCAACAGATATTAAGAGACAAGGGCTGACAGACGTCTACAGACTGCCTGAAACGGAGGTTCGTGCCAGAAACAATACAGCGCCAAGCTCCTGGAACAACAATTAGACAGCAGAGCTTCCACCTCTCTTCACTCCTGTAGAGTGTGTTCCGACGTTCACTGAAGAGTGATTCAAAAATCTCATTACATTAGTTTGGATAATTACCGCAGTTCTTTTGCAAAGAAGATTTCACCGCCTACACTTTGACAAGGTTGAATTAATTTCAGGCGAACTTGAAGGGCGTGTCAATTGTTATTACAGTATATTAAAGCGTGTGTATGTGTGTGCTGAGTCAGATCTCAGGGACAGAAACAGAAATAGGGATTGAGTTTATATTTTCAACTCACACTGCTAACCGACCTAACTAACCTAATAAGACAACTTTTAAGGCAGACAACTGATTTTCTGAAACTTTGATCTTAAATACCGTAAATCTGATAGAAAACTCAAGTGCAGATTCATGCTTTAGAATTTAAACAGAATTATCTTACTCTTACAAAGAAGTAAGAAGTCATGTTAGCATTTTCTACTGGACAGGAACTGTTGCTGCAATGGTGGAGTCTTTATCAGACTCTTTGTCTACTTTTTCTTCTTCATTTTAATTTCTTTGACTTTTTTTCTTCTTCTATGGTTTTCTTCTTCTTCTACAGTACACTTTTATTTAAATAATTTTCTTCTCTTTAGCTATCCTTTCTCTTCTTTACCTTCCTTTCTTTTATGGCTCCTTCATACAATTTTCTTCTTCTTCTTCTTTTGGACCAATATAGCAATTGGCTGATTACAATGGGATTAAAGAGACTATGAATCATGGGAGAATTAACAAGGATTCATATAAATCTACAGTGTGTCAGACTGCTACTTTATAGTCAAATTCTACACCTATCAAAGCTAAAGAGAGTTCCCTACTGTAAAAAGGACTGCAAGTGTCGGAGAAGCAGCCCAACATGTACCTTAAAGTATGTGAAAAAGAAAGTGTAAAATGTCGAACTCAAGTGGCCACAGGGCTGCTGTTGTCACTGTTTTATAGATGAAGAGGTTTGCCCACGGCAGTGTTGCCACAGAGGGATTAAGTGTCAAGACGAGCTGGTGACAGAGGGGCTGCTGCACAGGGTGTGTGTGCCAGGCTGTGCTGAAATCTTTACAGTGACAGTGAAGATTTCCCCACACACGCAACAATGGTCCTCAGCTTAAAGTATCAGTGTGTTGTAACAGAAGCTGGTTTGTCCTCTCTGTCACCGTCTCTCATAGTGTGCTGTAATCCCTTTGTTACAGCACACAACACTAACCCAGCCTCTTTAGGACTTTGATGTACCTGCAAATCAACTACTGGGCCTGTGTACACAAAGTCAAGAGTTCAACAACGTTCTTGACTTCTTGAAGCATGTACAAACGCAACTCTGTCTCCTCTGCACTCACCTTCTCTGGTACTCACCACAAAGAACCATGGTCTGTCCCACAGTTGTCTTTAAGGTTTGATTTCGTGGTTTGGTTGCTGTAGATTGCAGCAGGTGTTCAGACTCCAGGTTTATTTTACACACCGACTGCTGGAATGGAAACACCACAAACAGTCATATATAACAGTAGATATACAGTATATGTGTGTGTATGTACAGTATACTCTATATATGTGTATATAAAGATAACTAATTGGTGTTCAATATAAAGTAGTTCAACTAGCACTCAGACAAGCCTTCTTATGTAAACATTCCATTGACTTTTTCCGTGTTTCATAGCTACCTTTAGCTGCTTCATTTTAATCCGTTAGATTTATAAACTGTATAAAACATACATTTTTACATTGTAATGTTCTTTTCAGCTTTAAAACACAAGACTAACGGATGTCACATTCATATTTCACCTAGGTGTGAAAAAAAATTCAAAATGTTTTTGAATTTGAATATTTTTTAAATATGTGCAAATATAGATGGAAATTTAAACACACAATTTGTTTTGCAAAGTGTATGTTTGTACAAAGTCAGTTGTAGCTGTGCTTTTGTCTTCTTCTGTCCCTTTACATCTGTCTGACACTGCTTATAGTACTCCTTCAAGACAAAATACATTTTCATATATACTCTTGTCTAGAGATCAGATCAGAGAGTGATTTGGATCACTGTTTCCTTCAAGGCTCGGTAGCTTTTAACTAACCAATAGTGCAACTGGTATTCTTACTGATGGTCAAAGAATAAGAATCAACTAAGCAGAGAAAACACACACACACACACACCTCAGCTGCAGCAGTGGAGTAAGGTTAGTGGTCCTGTTAGACTGGCACCTGATGCAAGATGTCCATCAAACTGACTGGTCAGAGTCTGACTGGTCAGAGCCGGTTCAAACGGCCCCTCAGGCCAGCAGGAGGCGTCCTGGTGGTTCTGCTGCCTGCCAGAAAAATGCAAGAGATTTGGCAATTCTGAGAATTCACTAAGTTGCCAGAGTTGGGGGGAAAACATTTAGCAATACATTTCTTTCCATGTTGCAAAACAGACAGTGTGTTGAAGCACTTCCCCATGTTTGTGTACACATGCCCTCACATCATTATTAACACATTATACTACTATATTTGTATAATAATTAAACCCAACGTGTAAACGTGTGAATTTATAAAACTTAAATTGCATATCTTCTCTGATATAAGCATATTACTGCATCAGCATAGCTACTGTACATACTGACAGCCTCATTGACCAATGTTTATGATGGTCAACAGAACAATGTTACAAAGAAGTGACACTCTCAGTGATCCTTGTTGAACAGCATCCCAAATTAAGTTGGATTTTTTTTCCCCAAACTTGTTTCTGGTAACCAGATTGATTACCTCGACTTAAAGAGACAATGGCTCTATTGTTGTTCCCTGAAGGAAACATAAACAGTCAGAATGAAGCAGTTGTAATAATGTGACTAAGACGTTCTGTAACTATGACTGTGAGAACACGTCTGGTTCCCTGGTGTTGGTCTTCTGTCACTGCACTCCTCTGAAGCCAGGACAGGCTGCAAAGCTGAATCACCCAGTGAACGGCTGCATAATTAAAGTGACAGTGAAATTCATCACACGGTCTGAGCACTGGCTGTGACAGCAGGACACTCCAGGCTGCCGATCGGCCATCGCCCACCAGGGACCATCTGAAGGACACTGACCAGCAGCCTCTGGGGCCGCGGTAGAACTGGATGAATGTCTGGCAGTGAGACACATTATTTACTGACTAACTGCTTTGTGAAACTGAGTCTAAAATATAAGATCATAGTTTAATGCCTGTATTGTCTACATTGTCGACATTGTATATTTTTTATATTGTATTTCTATATTTTTCCAAGGACAGTATTTGCTGGCAGAGAAATATTTTGTCCTTTTTCCTTAACAGTTCTCTCAAACTCCTCTTTGGGGATTCCAGAGCCAAATGGAATACAAAATAAGTTTGAAATCGACCCTGGGATTTTCCTCTCATTTCCTCTTATACCCAGTGAACCCCAGTTTGGAAACACAAATGACTTCTGTTTACCACAAGGAGCAGAATTTGGCTCTTCTCTACGACCTTTTTAAATGTCAGAACTCTTGACTGAATCTGTACAAAGTGGGGCCCAGCTGCCCCACAGTGGAAGCTCATTTTAGAGGCATGTATCTTAGGATGTTCACTGTACTCAGAGCTAATGATGAAGCAGAAGACAACAAAAGTGCATGGCCAAAAAAAGACAATGAGCTACAGAAAAACGAAATCTCTGAGAAGGAAAAAAAAAAAAAAATCAGTGATACACAGTACAAGTTCAATTCATCCCTGTTCCCTAAAGACAGTGCTCCCCAAACTCCTTCAGCTGGGCCGCCCCCCCTTCAACTAAAAGAGAACTAAAAAAAAGAAATAATGTGTTTGCAATTTCTCCAATGTGCGACAAATTAAATTCTTAGCTCTCTGAGTTCTGGAGAACTGTATCTCTTGTATGTCCCTGATTCACATGCCTGACACATGATTCAGTTTCCGGGTTGAATGGTTTC